TATTTGTAACTCAGTGTGAGGATGCTGAAGTTCTGTGTTCTTTGAGTTTTCATATTTCTTCGCGGACTTTAAATCAGCAGGTTTGGTGAAATTCTCAGCAGAAACTTCATAAAGAAGTGCAACACTGAACCATTACGGAAAGTGGAATAAAAATATTTGTGCAAAGTGTTTAAAGCCAATGATCATCCACATAACTTTGTCAAAAGGATAGAAGACAAAGTAATGGCCTCAAATCAGTAAGCGCGTTACTATGCCCTACATTTGGATTATCTCAGAAGCTGTCAGCCTATTGCTTCATCGGTTTAGGATTGGAGTGGCCCACAAACGACGAAACGACTACAGACCATGCTACACAAGCTGAAAGGTCAGTTGCCAAAGGAAGAGAGGATAACTATAATCTCCAGAATCAACTGCAAAGGTTGTTCATAACCCTAGCCGTAGGTTCGCTCAAAGAATCCATGAATAGCTAGCAGTAAGACGACATGACACTACCTTCTTAGTTTTAGGGCACCCAAGCAGTCACGTTCACAAATTCCACTGAGAGGATGTCGGAATCCTCCAAAGGGTGGGTTCAAAAACTGTGAGAGAATTTCTAGAAGCACGGGATTCCAACGAAAAGTCAGCCAACAAAAAGAGATTGCCTACTAGTGTGGCCGAAGAGAATTTGAGGGCAAAAGGGTCAGGATTTGAAAAACATCTCTTTTTCTCAACTTACAACTTGACAACATCCGAGATCAATAAAAACATTATCTAAAGTCTAGTGCAAGAATCTGATATGTTTCACTTCTTTATGAAGTTAGTGCTTAAGAAGTCACCAAGTCGGTGAATGAAGCTTTCGTGACGGAATACCAAAACTCAGAGAACACCAAACTACCAACACTACTAAGTACCTTTATTTGACTGATATCATTGTATCAATGAGAATCACTACATAAAAGTCATTCAGCGAAATCTCAATATCTCGATAAAAGGCTGTGATCATACTAATAGTTTAAATGAATTGTGCTCAGCACAAAACAGTGTGAGGTACTGGTAAGTAGTCGGTATCTTTACTTTTCTGAAGACTATTCAACTGTTCTTTTTGTTGACGACTTATTTTGAAGAGAAATTAAAAATCATGAAGATTTCTTCGTACGATTATATAAACTAATTTTTCTAGACTTTCAAATCATTTAGTAAAGTATTAGTGACAGCTTAGTTTATGAAGAAGACTGATTTGAAATTCAACTCTTAGTCAACTATTGTTTTCATTTTCATTCTTTGAAGCTTATCTTGTTTTGAAGTACGTCATATTTTACAATTTCTGCTAATGATATTGCAGTGTGCACTTTTGTATGTTTCACTATCGGTTTGCATAGTTATTTGCCCACCTACTATGTATCTGCCCACCCATCTATAACTAACATAAATATGTACAAGAAAAGCTGTCTTCATTACCTTCCCTCGTGTACATCCTATGATCATATTTTGTGCGTAAAATGGGGTTTGAGAGGCAATTATCCTCTTCCCCCCTACTTTGTAAGATGTTTACAGTTCAAAAGAAGTAACTGTTACTGTTCATTGCTGATGTAAACAGATAAAAAAAATCCGAATGTTGTTCACCTGTACAGAAGCATACACTTTGATACGTGTTTATAATCTGTTAAGTATTATCTCTTGAATTTGTATATATAACGTTTTGTTTCTTACATATGAATGGCTTTCATCTATTGTTCAAGTACTGTCTTACCTTTCTGTTTCTACTGGATTTTAATACCCCCCTCTGTTTCTCCACCCTCTGAACCGATGTCTCAGTGATTAAGCGACACACAGAGAAGACCAGTTACGGATGTGTATGCAATAAACAAGAAAAAATTTTATTATCGTGACTGAACTGTCATTTTTAAATAAATTACCAAATTGTCCCAGTTTTATCCTTCTTCAATGAAAACCTTTTCAAATACCTGGACCATATCTTACCCATTTCAAATAACCCAGTTTGTTTATTAACATCAAAAGAAAAAATTTATAGATAGGAAAAATTACACTAAGTCTTCTCCCTTTTTTCATCTGTCTAAGAGAATTATCAAGAAATTATGTTCACTTAGGCCTGTCGGGTGAAAGTTTTAAAGTAGTTGAAACTATTATCTTGTTGACGTACAAATATTTAAGCAGCTTTCTCTTCTGGGTCTCCTTTACCGACAATTCGTGACTAATTGAAATAGTAGTTGTCAGAGCTATTCACAAGTCTGAACCTTTATAAAATAACTTCACGTGTATCCCTCAGAGAAAAGCTTGAATGCATATGAGAATAGTCTTGTACTAAGAATGGTTCCTCGGAGTTGTGAATTGGATAATTCTGAAAGGAAATAACCTGCTGTTCGGCATCCGGCATCACTCATCAGAAAGCATAAGATGCGGGTTTCTGTTGGCTGGGACTTCTCTACAATATTTAGAAGGTTACTGATACCATGAGATTTTGAAAATGCCCACTGCACAAGAGTGGTCGGAGAATTTGACCCTAAACTACTAAGATCCTGATCTACCGCTGTCAGACTAAATTATGTATGTATGGGAACAAGTTATCAGGAGGTCAATAGTGGCTCAAACAGCCGAGTGACACTGCTTCGAACATCAGGCCGGGTATTAGTTCCCTAGAGTGCCAACAAGCAAGAAACCTAGGCTGAATGCTTCCTGCCGATTGCCTCCATCCAACTAACATACACTATCGATCTTCAGATGTATACTTTCATGAAAAAACAGACTGAAATTGTAGTAGCATTTAAGGTGTCATCAACGCCATAACTGACCAGATTGGGCTTGAAGATTTCCCAAAGACTGGATATAGTCATCGGGAATGATCACCAATGAATCTGGTACCAAATTATTGGAAGTTTTTAAAATGTCTAACCCCAACAATCTGAGGCATATGTTTATAATTAGTTCGACTATGTGAGATAGACATGACTTGGAACACTTGTGTTATTGTTACGGGGTGATGTCTGGAGATGAAATAAAAATCTTGGTACCAGTAGGATTCTAAATAGATTTTCATTTTACCTTCAATCATGACCCAGTACATTTTTGATTCTTTAGCTACAATGAGTAGATTTTATTAAGTTACATTAGAAGTAATATGCATATAGTTCTGTACTAATTAGAAAAATTTAAAATGACAGCCTATAATATGGTGTATAGGGTTCGTTAGAAGCGCTTAAAATGACAGTTCAATCCTGTCAAATTTATCAGGCTGTATTAACTATCACTGACTTTAAATGTTCGGACAAAAATTGTTTCGATAGGGCGAGGTAACGAAAATCTTAAAAATACCGCAAATTCGATAAGTCAAAGACAACTAGCTGTTATTTTGAAGTCAGATTCAACTTCTTGTTATAATAAGAGAGGAAGAATAAATCCATTTTTCTATAAGTGCTATCTGATAAATAGTTTCTATCCAGTGACATTTAACTTTATATAATAATTAAAAATGAAGCATTATAACATGTCATTTGATATCCTTTTGAAATCAGTTGAACATATATATATATATATATATATTGAGGGAGTTATGGAGATTTGGAAATATTTCAAGTTCTTGTTCATCTTAGACTGACATAAGTTGGAAGAACAAAAGAAACCTGGGAGCGCTGGACAGCTGTTTCGTCCTAGTATGGGACTCCTCAGCAGTGAGCTAACAGAAGTTGGAAATATGGACCGTTGGGTTCTGACCCAGTGGTTCAATCGTGACGCGCTTGCCTCGGAACATTAAGGTAGCGGGCCCGGTCTCTGGCGGGGTCATGAGTGCGCACTGCTGAGGAGTTCCGTACTGGGACGAAACAGATGTCCAGTGCTCTCAGGTTTCCTTTGTTCCTCCAACTGATGTCAGTCTACGATGAATGACAACTTGATATATATATATATATATATATATATATATATATATATATATATATATATATATATATATATATATATATATAGTTCCTATCATTAAACTCCTATTTATTTGATGTATCAACAGTCTCCTATTCACAAAGTCAGCTTTACACACACGTCTTCAATTGCCGTCAACATTCAGTTGAAGACCTTCTGCACCACTTTTGATATGCTAGTTTTCAAAGCTTTTCAGAAACAAATGTTTAAGTTGAAGGTTTCGGTGTTCTTATCAAAATGCTTTGACATCAGAAGACTGATTTTTAGTCAGATTCTTCAGACCACTTGATAAAACAACAAAAGAGTTATGAAATGTCAGAGACTTAGTCTTCGTCTTCATCTAGGCCTTCATTTGGATTCATTTGTCTTAGATGTCAGCAGGACCTTTCCTATATAGCCCTTAACGATGTATATTTACCTGATGTTTATTTCAAGCTTTGTGAGCTTATGGGTAGCATCTGAAAGTCATTCCACATAGATAGTAGCAGCAATGAATTTCCGTCGAACTTAAAATGTAATTTATTATTTTCAACTTCGCTTAAGATCATATATTGGTGTGCAAAACTGCATTGGAATGAAGGTACAGTTCACGGTTCTTCCTTGCTTTTTTACCTCCTCTACCCATATATTTGCATGGTCGATGAACTAAACGAGAATTCTGAAGGCATAGGAAAAAGCTACTCACGAAACGGTGACCCTCTACCAAGTTCAAAAAAAGTATAGACTATGACTAGAGTATTTAGCCATTCAGTGTTACCGCTGGCAAGCATTATGATTCAAGTAAGACATGCATTTCAATTTGACTTCATACAGAAGTCAGTCACAATGATCATGTATAGTTATTCACACCTATTGAATTTCATAGCTGTCATCAGTATAAATTGTTGGCAAGTTCAGAGAAGAAATAAAGCATATTTTCAGTGCTTCCCAGCCTATGATAGTTGTCAGATTCATAATGAATCATCGAAAATCAGCATGCATTTACAATGAATTGGGTTCGAACATTAGTTAGTTACCTATCTATAGATCAGACTGACAACCAAGTCAAGTAAACTTTTAGGAAATAGGATCGAGTGAATAATTCTTACCAGTTGGATTTATAATACTGTCTTCCTGCTTATCCATCTCTGTTTTACTGGCCACCAAACTGGGATAATCTAAACTTGTTGAAGTAGACGAAGAAGGATACCTATCTGGTTGATCATCACTGATATTACTATCTTTTTCACCACCTTGGAAAGTTTCACCCTTTAGTTCCACAATTCTGATCGGTTCATCGGTAGATTCCAATTCTGTTGCATCACTTTTATCTTCTTGGTTTGAATCAAGTTGGACAGTTGTTTGAACAGTTGAGGTTCTGAAGTAAACTGTTTATTCACATCATTGTTATGATGATGATTATTATTGTTTCTACTATTGTTAACAAAAGACTGGTCAATTCTTATTGGTTTAGCTACATGAATAGTCTTGATTTCAGGAGCAAGGATAGTAGAAATGATTTTTGACTCGATTGGCGTCTGACAAAATTCTCCACGCCATTCTGATGTACACTCACATATTGCACTGGTACTTGAGTATTAAGTGTATAGAAAAGGAACAAAATTAAACAAACCGGATTATTTTCCACAGACCGAAAATAAAAATGTTCTCATGATGGGTTTATTCATTTCTTCACATATTAATTGATACATAATAGTCTCTATTATTAAAAGCATATTAGCTGGGTGCATCATAGGAGTAAAGAACTACACTAGATAAGATAGTAGTGTAACATCCTGAATACCTATTGAAAAACATCATTATAGTTTTTTTTTATGTGTATCACCCAGGCAAGCAGTATTACTTGCTGAATGACGTTTCCAGTAAAACTGGTTACCCATTATCATATCAGGGTAATCACAAAACTTTCTGGTCTCATTTTTGAAGTAATACTATTTCTCATTCTTTAATTTAATTGATACTGACATTTTCTACATATCCGAAATCGGCATTGTCATTTCTACTTTATATTTCTGGTGTCAACTGGATAAATAAAACTTCAGTTGCTGAGTTCTCTTTTTGTTCACTTTAAATATTTTAAAAATTGTCATTGTCCCACCCATTTATTTGAATACTGCTGACAGTATGGCTTTAGTTGGATCTTATATTAGATTTCTTACTTTGTTTAACGCTTTAAATTTAGCTAGATTCTATGTTCTGTTAACCTGACTGTCTCTAATATACCTGTTTTATTAATCCTTATAACCTTGTAGTTATTGTATAGAATTTGGTAAGCCAAACGTTTCAGCTAAGGGGGTTCTACAGAATCCTTAAACAAAAAAAGCTTGTCTCCGAGAGAGATTGTAGGTGTAAACTCCACTTTGATCCCAGACCAATTGTGGTTCCAGTCTAGGGCTTCTAATATCCTTTTATTGTGGGGATTTCATAGACACTCTAGCAACTACTGAAATAACTTTGGGTTTGCTTACATTTAGCAAAATCACCTGTTATGTTTCCGCAAGTTTTATTGCTGTCTCAGGTTAGGTTTACATGAATGAGAGTCGTAACATCAGTCTAGGCGTCATCTTCTATTATGCTCCTACAGAATGTGACCGTAATATATTATCGTGCATTTTTAATTGAAGGAGGTTGCTGTTGGGTTGAACAAGAGGGATAAGAATAATTCATTCACTTCTTCTTGGCTAAATCTAGAATTGTGGAATTGACTTGTTGAGCCTACGATTATTGTATTATGTCAGCTGAATGGTTGGATTTATTCATTCTCATTTATTATTAAAACGTTAATACAATAACTAATAAGGTAACTCTCCTAATGTTTAGCTTCTTTATAAATTGCGGCAAAAAACTTTGAGTGAATAGTTAATATTCTAGACAATAATTCATTTGTCACTTTAACATCCACTCTAACAGACGCAATTCAAGGACAGCTTTATATAGTTTTTACTGTTCAACAATTGTTTTAAGTATAAGTGATAAGAGCATTGTCATTTCTGGGGATTCTCTGAGCCATTTAATATTTAACAAACTGAATTTTTCATTAATAGGCTAAATGAAATCATTAGAACCAATTCCAGAAGGAAGATAGACAGAAAGTTTAGTAACATCGGGTTGAACATTGATCTTAGTTTGCATCAGTATTGGTTCTGAGTGTAGCAATGAATGACTAATTATTCTTTAGGAATAACTAACTAACTACTGAATAACCGTAAGTGGTGTGTATCTTAAAACTCGGTAAGACTCATTTATCTCCTGAGATTAAATTATTTTCTATTCAATACTCATAACTGGAACTCAGTTGGCTAGTTATTCACGTTAAAACTGAACCTGTTTAAAGGCTTTTTACACATATCTGATGAGTGAAAGCAACTGCGAAAGCTTTAATCCTGTATCACTATGCTTACCTTGTTAGAATACATTTGCCATGTAAACATGGTTTGTTGCATATTCTGGCTCCAGTAGTTTCATCACATATCCACAAATCTTGTAATGGGATACAGTATACTTCACAACGATTTCCGTAATAATCTTTGGTACAGGTTATATCGATGTAAGTTTCAATTCTTTAAGGCAAGCGGGAAAGATTTAAAGAAAAATAAGAATATTAAAAGTCAGCGTCTAAATGATGTTTACTGAATTAAAAATGTGAAAATTATAGTTCATACATCCACTAATTTTGCTTCAATGGTCTTAGATCAGCTAGTCATATAAGGAAAACAAGAAACTAAAATACTGATAGCAGCAGAATGAACAGAGATTGTGCAAAATATTTAATGGTGTGTGTGAATCCACTTGTAGACGCCTCCTTCCTAGTCTTGTTCTCAGTCTTCAACCATCGCATTAAACGCGCAACTACACCTAACAATTACAAGTAGTTGAAACTCCTTTCGATGGGAAACATTAATTGTTCATACTAAAACCCGCATTCAAATTATTGGTAACTACCAACCATAATCAACCAGCATTCTTAAGAACCTTTATCTTGACTCACGTTTTATTTGTTACTTGTAAGGTGATGTTAGTAGTATGTGTTTTGTGATAAAAATTTATCGCAGTCACTCTCTATTCTCATTCTTCTTGATAATCACCAGTTTTTAGTTATCCCATATTTAAAGAAACTTAATGCAGGTTATCCTTATAAAGAAAGATATAGTTTCAAGGTAAACGAGTAGGAAACTAACTAACCTCATAATACTGGGACAGACTTCAATACCAGGATATCAAGTCACCAAGCTCAGTGATTGTAGTGTATATATTATCCTTAGGTTACAACTAGGCTAAAATAATATCATCAAGAATAGTCTAGGGATAACATCTAAGTCTTCACTGCCCAGGGATGCGAATTTGAACTCTTTTCAAAGAATATCATATCTTTCTAGGCTGAAGATGAACATGATTATTAATTGCTAATGATTATCATCGGCTCGGAAACCCGGTGATTGCTGGTTCAAATTTGGGCATGATCCAAATTTGCATTTTACCTTCAATCATCACCCTGTATAACTTCTAATGGACCAGAAACATAGCTACAAGGTTACCTTCAGACTATCTTCAACACTAAGGATTTAGTTTGTCTAAAAATCTTGAATGTTGGAATTGTGAACCGTACATTGCAGAAGTTATTTTGAGCATATCAGTCTGAAGTATTCTAAGGAATTGACTGACTACTAACGTTATATAATTCCTCTTCACTATCAGTTAAATTTTATTATATGATCTTGTTTATAATGAATTCATCAAACAGTCAATTACCTCTCAACATCAACAACAAATAATGTATGTTAAATTCAGTAAACTGAGAACAAAAATCTTCTCTAACCTAAAACCTATTCAATATACTTGGGTTGTCTACTGGTATTTGAAATTTTGATAAGTTCAACGTAGATATTACAGTACTTTGACGCTTAAGAACACTGAGTATATAGCATGCATGAATATTGTTTCTTTGTTTCAAAAGAAACCGAAATCAGGAATTTACTAGCTCAAGTGATTACGGCCAGAAGATTTCAAATTTGATCTATCACTTTCATTGTAGTGCTGTAAAAGTCACTGAATACCTTTCTTCTGTAAAATCATATATATATTTCTCAGATAATTTTTGTTGGCCAGCTAACTTTCACTAAAATGAGACATCATCACCTAGACGTTGAGAACACTGCTTTAGTCTCTTTTAGCAAGGATTACTCTCGGCACATATCTATTCTCTTTTCATTTCGTCAGCTTTACAATTACTTCAGAAATTAGTAAACTGATTGACTCATAACCAGTCAGACCATTTAGGGAGGTTCTTATCGGTTGACTAGTTGAAATAAACGTAGACGACGCTAAAAATAATCACATGGATTGGTGATAACAATTTTCCTCAAAGATGTACTAAATTTGTATCTCAGGTAAAACCGAGCTTCGTGTCTAGATTTTAATGAAACTTTCCTTTCCAGTCCCTTTCTAAGTATATTTAACTTTTCAACCGATGGCGGTAAGAAAAAGATTTAAATACTACTACACTACTGAATAGTGGACTAATTGAAATAAATCTCTCCATTTGTGTTACTCACACACACACACACACGTGGTAGTGAACGCAGAGAATATGTTGTTTATTTATTTTACAGTTATTTGACGTCAGTACTACATTGAATATTTGACATTCTGGTAAAAGTGAATATGAATATCAGTTGTCAAGAGGAATTTGGAAAGTAATATAAATATATACATTGGATCATTTTAAATAATATATACAAAATGATATCAAAATCTGATTTCTCTGTGTGTAGACAAATAGAATTTGATGTTCAGTACAAAAGTTGAAACCTTCATTTACAGTGGATTGAGAGAAGCTTGTGAGTCGGTACTTACAATTCCTGTTTGTAAGTCATTTAAAATAGAATGTTGCTCCATTCATGCCTGTGTAGTCATAAAGGTGCAAACACATAAATGTTCACACACGAAACAGCCGTTTTAATTATGAGATGAAGGCTGATTGGTGAAAGATTTACGTTATGCAGGTGCTTCCTTCAGAAATCCTTAATAACTTGAAGGAAAACACGGTAGCAAAATATTTTGCAAACTATTCAGGAACTCTCTATCTCACAGCGAAAATCTATGATAAGATATCGGTAAGGTATGTTATGTAATAGTTTACGCAATCTCACAGAAAAAGTGATGTAGTTGAGGAAAAGATATCTGAATGAAATATTTAATTTATCATCCCTCAAGCTTTGGGGAATGGACTTTGGAGGTTTGTGGGGATTTCATTTATTTAAGTTGATATTCTTTGCAGACTGACATCAGTTAGAAGACTATTAGAATCCTGGGAGCACTTATCAGCTTCTTTGTCCTGCTATGGGACTCCCCAGAAGTGCGCACTAATGACCTCTCCAGAGATTGAACCCAATACCTTCAGGTTTTGCGATGGGCACGTTAAAATATAACCACTGGGTCACGCTTAAAAGTCTGGGCATATGAAAGGAGAATTTGCTGTGATAACAGGCATATGACGGGCGGTTCACGTTTGAGCATTTTTATAATAAGGGAGACGAGGCAGAATTCTGCGCTTTAAAAGTACTCACAGGACCAATTACAAACGTATCTTAGGAACCGTGTATTGATGTGATTCGTTTTGGTGCTGCTGTAAAACCCACTGTCATACCCGATATTCCTATATAAAATAATACCTACAAGCTTTCTATATAGCATCTTGTCTAATGGATATATTTGAAGATGATATTTGCCAACAAATCGCTTGTCAATAAGTGTTAGTTGCTATACATTTCAGTTCAACTAGTAAAGCTCTTTCATCTGCTAGGATGAGAACTGAAATTTTCACCGGCTAATTGTTTCTATTTAACTCATGAATCATTCTCAAAAAGTTTGACTATGGTTTGGTAACACCCATGAAGGTCACTTATGTGCCTAAAGAAAGACAATATGATCTGCTTCCAAAGTTCCTAGGATTTATATCACCACTGAACTGTGAGAAATTAATGGTAAATTCGAAGCTGGAATAAATTGGTTCATAAAACGTTTGATAAACTTCTGTTAGATGCATGATGAACGCCTAACTAATCAAGTAAGTGACTGAAGCATCAAGTTCTTGATATATGGAAGTATTTCTTTCTCGCACATTAGTCTGTTATGAAGAAATAATTACCATACTTTGTCAGGAGGAATTGTAAGCTGTCCCCACTCAACAGTCATCAGAGCTAAGCATTTACTCTCCGAACACCATTTACATCAATGATCCCAAGCTAAAATAAGTAATTCCCATTGGCTATTTGAATTTTCAGCGTTCAACTTTATATATTTATAGTAACGTCAACATTATGTAGCAAAAACAACACCCAAATGTATGTTTTTTTTCTCCTCAACTCAACCAATTTTTGCATAGATCAAAAGATAATCATAAATGTAATCCTGTACACCGGAACAAATAGAAGTAATGTTGAGTAAGATAGATAAAACACACTTACTTGACATCAACACCCATTCTGAATTCATATACTCCCTTCTTCTCGAGTGGTACCTGCCTTCTAAAAAGTGCGATTCTCTGGTCATCATCGATATCACTGTCTTGAATGTCTAGCTCAAATTCTATAGAATCCTGATCAATTATTTAGGAATAAAACATGATGACTTTAGGTTAGGAAATATCGGCATACTCGAAAAATCTGTCAATAATAATTACACAACTGTACCCAGTTAAAAAAATCGGAAGTATTACTTTCTTCGAGAGGCTTTGGGTAAAAGTAAGTTGGAAGCGGTATCATACATTATACTGATACGTTTTCAGTTTCACTGAGTTTCTATGATCTGATCCGCCAGGCAGAATTCAGAAGTGTTACTGAAGTTGCTTGTTTTGCACATTGCAGTGTCTTGGTTATATTGTGTTCTCTCAGCTGGGTAGTTTAATCGTGAAGCTTTCATCGTCTTTCCAAACAGCATCATCAGCACTAACTTCAGTATGAAATGAGGTATCAATATCTCTCCGTCAGTGAGTGATTTAGTAGCTTATCTTGATGATGTGGTTTGTGATAAAGTTTATCAGAAGATGCCTATCCCGCACATCATCAACTACAAGGTCATCAACAGAAAACAATGAAAGCATCATCCTACCATGCATAAAGAATATATCAGAAATCACAACAAGATTGCTGAGACCACTTGGAATCGGTGTGGCTCATAAACCAACAAATTCCCTTGAAACACTATTATACAGACCGAAGGATGCAACAAGCAAAGGAAGACAAACCGAATGTCACTTACAAAATCAACTGCAATAACTGTAGTCAACACTGTAGTGGAAAAAGTGGCCGCCCTCTTCGCCTTCATCTACACGAGCACCGATTGGCTATTAAACGCCATGACATTTTGTCGTTCATTTCAATGCACGTGGATCACAACTGTGGACATGAATTCAATTTGGACAATGTAGAAATTTTGGACAGAGGAAACACAAAGAATATCAGAGAATTTCTGGAAGCTTGGAATTCAGATCAGTCAGCAACCAATGAATGTACAGACATAGACCCAGTCTATCAGACAACGCAAAAAGTGATAAACGACAGGAAGGTCAGAGGTGAAGCAGAGTGACAGCCAACAAGAACATCTACACAGTCAATGACACAGCAATCGAGGGAAATAACCAATCACAAAGCACTTCATCAAGGCAAGCTACTAAATCCCTCACTGACGGAGAGATATTGACAGCTCACTTCATACTGAAGTTAGTGCTGATGATGTCGTCTAGAAGGACGATGAAAGCTTCACAATTAAACAACCTAGCTCAGAGAACACAATACAACCAAGACCATTCACCCGAGCTACAAATATTCTCCACACTGCAGTTTATTACGTGAAATTCACTGCGATATTTTTACAAACCAGTACTTAGAAAAAAATAAACTGATATTTATCAGTTATATCTTATTTATAAGTTAGTTCTCGACTGTACGTCCAAAGACTTTAATGTAATCAACAAGTCAGATGGCAAAATAAGCTGGTATACAATTTTAGGCAAAAAATAAATGCAACAATCTTTGGAAATATCCTAACGACATGGACACAACAAATTTCAACATTCGAAAGGAAAGGGTTTTTTAAGACCATAATATATGTCTATCGTTTTCTAGTTGACAATTTGTTTCATGTTAAGTGAAGGATAAGTTATCTAGTTTTGCTACATGCATGTGTATTTACCAATTTAACTGCTTCTGTAGAGACAGTTATGTAACGCTTTGAACTAGGCAACCTAACCAACTTATTACCAAACACCTAACTTTGCAGTTGGGACAAGGATAAGTTACGTCTATCAGAAACTATATTTTATATCATTGAGTTGATAGTGGTCACACAACGGATAAGACGAAAGCGTTCAAAGTGATTTGCCGTATCCCACCGAACATTTTTGATGAACTTATAGTTCATCCTTTACATATACCTCAGGCTATAAGAATTCGGATAGACAATTTAAAGCTCTATATCCAGAAGAAATCTTTACAGTCTTTATCTTTGCGCTGGCTAGAGTAAATTTATTGAATCACTTTGTTTGAGAGTTTCAAATGTACTTCTCTTTCTTATTTTATTTTTGCCACCCATTTCAAACCACTAACATATTCGCATTCGCTTTGATCATCAAGTACTGCGCAACCTCACTGTCATTACCCAACTTTTGACCTACTTTTTCTACCTGAATGAACAGCTCTTTACATTGTCATGTCATTCTGCACATTCATATTATTCATTATATCACAGCTAATTTTATTGTCCACGTTTTCTTTATCGTTGATTCACAAATTACCGTGATTAGTCAATATTTTTTACGCATGTTGAATGTTAAGTGCAGTAGAGTGAAATGTGATGAGATGTAACTGAATTCGATACTATTCGCTTACGTAACATTAGGCACTGACAGATGAAAAATCTAAAATTCCATGATTTCCCGTCACTATCTTGCAAATGCAACCTTAGTTTTGCTTGCTAAAATATTGTCTAAATAGAAACAAACTTTGATGATTTTCACCTCTTCAAAAATATTCAAATGAATAGGGATAACTACATAAAGAAATTGGAATCCTTTCACCACGAACTGTATAAATTATGCTTTACTATAAAAGAAAGGAAGGCATGTTGATGAAATCAAATTATTTTTACATATTTCTTCGGAATGATTCATGAATAATTCTGGCTGTAGCCACAAAGATTTAGTTAGAAGTTATCAGCTGACCGTCTGTTTCAGTTTTACAGATTTTACAGACAATTTCTAGAATACTTTTTATAGCTTGGATGCAGAACGCAATAAGAAGCATGATGACATTTGATAGATGACTTACAACGTTTGTTCGAGACACTGTCTTGAAATGAGTGATTGACTAGTATTGATTCTTCATTGCTAACGAATTCTTTGCTGTTAGTCACAAGGACACTTTATCAGGCGTTCTCTGAAAATCTGATGTGAAATATAGTTTCTTAGGCCTAAAGGTAAACAGATTGTTCTCTTTTTAGTTCAGGAAGAAAAGTAATGATTGGGCTAGACCCTGATACTAGTCATAACAGTTAAGCTAGCAAATAGACAGAAAGATGGTATTTTGTGACAGCCGACATCATTTATTGAGAGAGTGGCTGAGTCTGTATCGTGTATGAGGCCGTCCGGCTAGTCCAGCTGCATTCCATTTCATTCTCCATCTTTAAGACTTATGACCACTGTAACTTCAAAGGATAGTTGGGTTTCAATGACTGCAGCACATAAGAGAATTTAGTTGTTCTCAGGACGAATCGACTAATTATATCAATATCAACTTAAGGATCTTTCTATACATAGGCGAAAAGGAGGTAATAAAGAGAAAATATGCTTAAGGTTAACTTCCAGCAAGTTGTGTTCATATTCTGTAGATATATCTATATTTCAGAACAAGTGAACACTTATCGAAATAGACTGCAGAAAGAAAAGCACAGTAACACGAACAACTTTGATGAAGAGAATACGTCTCTAGAAGAAAATATATCCACTTGAACAAGATAAAGGAAACAAGAATAATAAGAGGTCATTTTCAAACTGGTTGATGAGTGAGGGTGAAATGAAAGTTTGGACCATTGCCAGATTCGAACTGGCCACCACTGAGTTTCCCTTCCGGTGCTGAAGAACTGAGCTACTAGGCCTGACTGCTGACCAGATTTATGGTTCACTTCAGTCACCAAGAGTTTTACTAGACTACCGTTTAAATTTGTGACACTTTCCTACCGCTTGATCGTACTCGCATTGGCTGCCCAGTCACAGCTCCTCATCTCAATACAAATCTAACTGAATTACAGAAAAAGACCATCCTATTGATCAGACTAGTATTTGTACTGGGTGATGATTGGAGGTGAAATGAAAATTTGAACCGCGACCGTATTCGAACCAGTGACCACCGGGTCTCCGGTGCTGCGCCAACTGAACCACGATGCCCGACTGCTGGTCGGGTCACTTTTATTAATTTGAGTATTTTCTTCAACTGCTTACATCTTCCATCTAGTTGACAAGAAGTTATTGATAAGATCAGGTGGTAATGTTAATAATGAATAGTGTAACTGGTTAAGGTAGGAGAGATCAGTCTCTAAATATGTACTGTAGATCCAAACGCTCATTCTTTTCCACGTATCATATAGCCGGAATTTACACTTTCACGTTTATACATACACAAGCACCCGTATACATTTTTGAAATCCTTTCCCTTAATTATTTACCCTAAAGCTAATCACTATTATTTGCAATCTTCTTAATAATAAGATCAAGTTATATTGACATAGATCAATGGATTTGTCTGAGTGCTCACCTTTATTGAGCTACCTTCAGTTGTCCTCATCTTGCAGATATAATTTTAACTGTTTCTATGCAACAAGTTAAACAGAACCTAGGACAATGCAAGTGTGTCTTTAGATACAAGAGCATTTATCTACTTGGTTAGGACTAGGTGGAGTTAAAGTGGTGAAAAGTTCCGTTCCAGTGCATTTAGTAAGCGTAGGACATCAAATAGATGTCAATAAAGCTTTTAATGTCAAATATTCTGTGCTACAAATATCACATGTAGCTTGCTAACGCCTGTTTAACACAGCTGACTAAGTCACAATATGACGTTCGGGTGTTATTCCTTCTTCGGTCTTCAATAAACTAAACGTCACTACTTATTTTTGACGTTTCTTTTACTATTACATTCTTCATCCGTACGTATGTTATCTTAATATTAACAAATCTAAAAGAGGAACCGATTTCTCTACAGTCCCCAACTCTTACTTTTCTACTTTTAGAGTGAATTCACCTAAAACTTGGCTTGTTTTAACGCTGTACACTTATATTTCTTCATTCGAGGAGTGGTAGTCAAAATACTTTCATACTCCTTTAATACACCCACCTCTATTACTAGATGCCAATGAAGGTGAGTTTCAGAATAAAGAAAAATAGCAGAAACAACTGTTATCTCAGTCAGTGGATTGATCTACATTGAGAATACACTGACAGTTTCAAGTTACGTCTTCAACGGCAAGTATAGACAGTAAACCTAGTGTGATTATTTTTATTAACTTCTGGGAAACAGAAAATTCCGCTATCTTCCCTACTGTGGTGTA